CTTGTTGGCGCGGTTTAGTGGGCGCGCTTTCGACATCGCAGTCTTGTCGGCGCGGTTTTGTCAGCGTGCATTTGTCGGGCGCACATTTGTCGGGTCACGAGGCAACGGCACTCCTGCTGCTGAAGCACTTGACACTAATGGTTTGTTTGATATACCCAAAGCCCTAAGTGAGAAGAGCAGAAATGGGGAAAGAGAAGCCTTTGGTGCTTTCCCATATTCTTCTTCTGTCTAATGGAGGTGGAGGGGGGACCTTTCCTGCTATGCTGTGAGAACCAGTTTTGACCTGTCAGTCAATGGTTTTACAACCTGCTCTGACTGACGACAGAGCTCTAAAGTTTCTTGCTAACGGCATGTCTGTTGTTAATGGGTGCAAATTGGTTTGCTTGAATGGGCGATCCTTATCTGCTGCTTCTTTCTGCAGATGGTGAATCGAAGGGCACCGAAGGAGTCCAGTTAATTCACAAGAAAGAGACCGCCGTTTCTGAGCCTGAACAGGAAAATGCTAGCTGTCTTTCTCGCATGGCTGAGCCCTTCAGTACATTCCGTGACGGATGGGTTTCCTACTATAACCAGTCGGTGTTCCTTGCAGGTCTGGCCCTGGCATTCCTCTACATGACCGTCCTTGGCTTTGACTGCATTACCACTGGCTATGCATACACTCAGGGATTGAGTGGCTCCACTTTAAGCTTATTAATGGGGGCCTCTGCCGTAACTGGAATCCTGGGAACAGTAGCCTTCACTTGGTTGCGTAACAAATGTGGGTTAATCCGCACAGGCATCATCTCTGGAATTGCCCAGCTGTCTTCTCTTGTTTTGTGTGTGATCTCCGTCTTCACGCCAGGAAGTCCTTTGGATCTCACTGTTTCCCCCTTCGCTGACATCAGTGCTAGGCTGTTTGAAAGCAACCCATTACCCACCTTGGCACCTAATGGTGATTTCCTTGAAATGGCTTTTACCACTGAAATGCCTGCTTTGATTAATGCAACGTCTTCTGCTCCAGGATTAGCTCCCAACCCAGTGTCTCTCATCTCCGTTAGCCTTCTGTTCGCGGGAGTCATTGTAGCAAGAGTTGGTACGTACTTCCCTATATAAAATACTCATGGTACTTCTTTGAACACAGATCTGTACTTCTGTAGTAGTTGTGGGACCTGTCATAAATCATATATTAAGTCTAGATTTTCAAGATGGTCTCCAGATATAGTTCGATTACAAATTATGGTGTATTGGATTGCAACTTCTAGAATGTCAAGGCAGCTGAGCATTCCAGGACTTGCTTTCCATCCAAACCACAATTGAATAAGATTTTATTGATAAAAAGATTTTAACGATGTTTCTTTGCATAGCTAATTCAGAATCAAGTCTTGCCGCATATAGTGGGGGGGGGGGATTAAGCATGGGAATGTATCCTAAATTGTCTTATTCTCGTAAACAAATCCAACATAAGTAAAATGGACTAATAATTATAAATCTCAGTGGTGCAGAAATAGCACCATCACAGTTGCTGGGTATATGCAAGTGTAGCCTGCATTGCAGAAAGAAGAGCACTGGAAGTGGTTATCTTATTTCCATATCCCAGCCTTTTTCCAACAGAACTGTTCTGACTGGAAGATTGGAGCAGGATGTTTCCATTGTCTATATTTTCAAAAAGGGGTGGCAAGGCTTTTAACTGGGGGGAAAAAGGATTTGTTTGCAGTATAGAGATCTGTGCTTGTTTAACAAGTGTTCTTCTGTGTCTCCTGCCCTGCCTCAGCTGGAATTAAATACCTTTTTCCTTTTGTTTGCTTTCTCTAGGCCTTTGGTCTTTTGACCTGACAGTCACACAATTGATTCAGGAAAATGTGATAGAGTCCGAAAGAGGTATCATAAATGGTGTCCAGAACTCCATGAATTACCTCCTGGATCTGCTACATTTCATCATGGTTATTCTGGCTCCTAACCCTGAAGCTTTTGGACTGCTAGTAATCATTTCTGTTTCCTTCGTCGCAATGGGTCATATCATGTACTTCCGTTTTGCCCATAAAAGCTTGGGGAGGAACGTCATTCTTTGCTGTACTCCTGAGTTAAAGTCAGTTGCCAATGAGCCTCCAAATTCTGATGAATCCAATGCGTAGAGGATTTTGCCTCCTTCAGGTGTTTTTTTCCCAGTCCATGTTGACTGGCATGCTTTATTATGGGTCAGAAGCAGTTGGCACCTTCTAAAATGGTATTCCTTTCCAGCACTCAAGTTCACAATCGACCTAGTTTTCCTTTGCCTTTGGGCAGGTAGCCAAGTATGGATTTTTACCAGGTGCAAGAGATGCACTTATTTATTTAAGAGGATATATCTCCTCAAGAGTTAAAAGTTTAATTTCTTTTTTTTTTAAAAGGCAGTTGACTAGAAGGACATAACTTCGATTTTTTTTTTTCAAATACACAATTACTATTGGTTGGTGTGGGCTGGAGATTAACAAATTAAACAAAATATGCTCTTATGTGTAATATGATTAGTGGGTGTTATTGTTTAATATAGAATAGATGTGCAGTTTTTTTTTTTTTTTTTAAAGAAATGCTAGATGTGAGGAAAACATACAAATCAAAAACAGCAAAGTTTCTTGATCGATAAAGTTGTCAAATGTGCCTTTAAACAAACAAACAAGACCTCTTTTCTGTGAAGTTACTTCTAGTTCAGTTTTGGAGTAACATCTGGGTTACTTTAGTATATTATCTGAATAAGAAATAATGCAAAATAGTATATAGAATATGTATGTAGCACTTCATAGGAGGCGAGATTAACATAGCATAGACCGAAGCTATTTATATAATACAGTATAGCATTGTAAAACATAAGGGGGAAGTATTTTTGGTTTTATAAATTTTCAGTAACATGCTTACTAAGCCTTGGTTCCATAGTATTAAAGGCCAGATATATGAGATGAGAGAACTAGGTTGTGTATGTGTGTGTGTGCGTTAATGAGAGAGTGCAAGGGAGAAGAAAGATACAATCTCTTTTTTTTTTTTCAAAATTATTTAAACCACAAAATTGCAACCATTTATTTTACAATAGCACCCCTAATATCTAGAAGAAATCAAGAATACACCACGAGCAACTTCTTTGTATAAAACCCATTTCAAATGACTACGAATTGACAAAAAAACGTAATTTGTTTCCTCGATGAACAATATAAGACATGTATTAATTTTGTTTGTATGCCTATCTTATGTATGTCAGTAATTTGGAGAAATAAGCTGTGTAACCTGTGAACACTTGATTAATAGTTTAATCATGATTAAAGTAAAAGCTTGTCCCTGATCATAGATCTATATCTGCAAAAGCAACTAGCATCCAAAAGGAAGCATAACAGTATTTGTACCATCAAAGGAGCTTCTGGGCAGCACTCATGTTGACAACTACAAATGCATGTTGGGGCAAGATTTGGGTGAAGACTGGCAGGGATGCATATACCTTCTGTTCAGTGATAGAATTAGTGTGGCTTTATTATGCTAAGCAGCCAGCGTGGTTTGCATTTAGAAGAAGGGTCAGCATGCAAAGTCCTGCTTCACTTTACACTAGTGAATTAGGGTACATCTGTATAGTTTTAAATGTTTTACAGAACTAATACCCTTATGCACTCTGGTTTTTAAAAAACTTTTATACCCTAGCTCAGTGGTCTCCAACCTTGGCAACTTTAAGAGATGTGGACTTCAATTCCCAGAGTTCCTCAGCCAGCAAAGAATTATGGGAGTTGAATTCCAGACGTCTTCAAATTGCCAAGGTTGGGAAACACTGTACTAGACAGATGTCTAGTGAAGGTGAGGAGTTGATGTCCACAAGTCTTAAAGTTGCCAAGGTTGGAGACCACTGCCCTAGCTTACTAAAAAAAATACTATTTTAAATAAGTTTAAATTGGTTTGGGATGTTTGTGTGTATGTGTATTTTTTTTAAAAACTTGTTAATGTAAAAGCAAACATTGATAATCAGTAGTGACCGACAATGCCATCTATGTATGAATTGCTTTTGGAGACATCTTATGGTATACAAAAATGAGTACAAAGCTTTTTACAGTAAGTTTTATGCACTTTTGTGGAAATTGCAGTAAGAATGCTACAAGCACTTTGCTTTAAAATAGAATTGAATCCTCTTACTCTGGAGTTTTTCTAAATGTAATTTTCAACTTCTGTTTGTTAAATATTTGTAAAATATTTGTATGCATAAATATAAACTATTTTTCACATTTTTGCCTTTTCTTCATTTGGGTAACATGTTTTGCACACAATACAGTTAATCCCATATCTGAAATTAAGTGGCGATTCACAAGACCTGTGTTCAGAATTTTCTCTAGAATTCTTAAGCTGAAACTGAATTTTATACACAAATAAAATGGAGATATGGTTGCTTCCAGCATAATAAATTGTAGATAAATCTCAGATTGATTTGAGAGAATTATAGTAGCAGTTTAAAAGCAAACTAAACAAAAATCCCAAATACTGAATGTTATAATTCATTTTTGCATATATGTCAACTCATTACAAAATTATATTTAGTCCATTTTTAAATTTCATGGATAACTAAATATATAAGCAGAAATATATAGTTACTTTCTTCATAATAGTTCCACCCATGGATTAAAGCCTACTTGGATTGGACACTGAATGGGCAATATTTTGCCTTATTAAGAGGGATTGTAATATCCTAGTATTTCTCTGATGATGAGTGAAGAAGAAACATAATCTGAAAACAGGATTTGGTATTTTTATAGCATGTCTACTAAAATTGGTCAACAAAGTATATTTTAAGGAAAAGAATAATTAAAAAACATTTTTATTTATAGAATTTATATCCCACCTTTTTATTTTATACTAGTGGTCTCTGACCGGTGAAAATAAAATTTGTCCACAGAAAAGACAACATGAGTTTGACTGGCCTCGACGAGGAAGCAATAATTTGTATTGACCAAAAAGGACTTATGGTCTTTTCCCACTTCATTTGTAATTTACAATCAAATGGCATCATGATGCTTGGATTATTAAGCAAATTCAAAGTTCTGCAAACATTAGGGTGTGAATGAGGCGGTACAAATGAATGTGTTAGTTCTGCTTTCGTTGTTTAGGTTAAAAAAAGTTTTAAAACAAGCTTGACTTCTGCTGACGTGGATACTCCTGGCAATTTTTGATTTTTCACTGTCTTCTTCAAGAGAACCCCCAGTGGCAATGAAGAGCCTCTTCCACCTTCATCAGATTAAGAACCCTAGAAAAATAAGATTTGAAATCCTATGGGGAGGGGGGTTGTCTATTGCAGACAATTGCCCCATGAATTAGGGTTAGGAATATGGAAGAAAGAGCAAACACATGCCTTAATGCATCCTCCTTGTTTATAGTCCTGTCATGCCTCTAAAGATACCTGAACAGGGCTTAAAAAAAAGACTTGTGAGTGTAAGAACAAGAAACCAGTATGTTTACTGAAAGGCCACCAAACCAGGACAAAGTGCAAGCTATATGATAATACTTCAACCTGTTCTAGCATAAGTCAATATTTCTTTCTAGTTAATGTTTTCCTTGCTGAAGTTTGCAAGAAGAAAGGTACATAACAAAGGGCAGAGAGGAGCCCGCTTCCAAATATCTCCAATGAAGTACAAAAAGACATGACCTCACTTTTAAATGAGAAGAAGTCAAAGGTCTTTGCTATAATGACAGTGAAGTCTAGGAAACTTTTGGGGTTCGTTTCCTGCTTCACCTCCTAAAATGGAATAGTGTGTGGATCCTATGCTTTTGCTCCCCCAAGGTTTTTTGGTGTCAGAATTCACATTTTCAATGAGAAATGTGGGTATCTTGTAGTCTTTTATAATCCCAAATTGCTTGACTAGCACATTTTTCAAAGGAAATGAGGATTTGGTTCTAAGATACCAAGAGATACCTACATCAATCCTCAAATAAGCAAATTTAGTTAAACTGATAAGATACAGAAAAAATCCACTATGCAATGATAAAATTGGCAATCAGTCTTGACACGTTTATTTATGGATATATTAAATGGAATATGTTGCAACACACTGGCGCACATACCTATACAGCACAGGTATCAAATTTGCAGCATCACGTTGCCATCACCCATTCCCAGGGTGGGTGTGGCCTGCATGTGACACATCCAGCCCGCGGGCTGCCAGTTTGACATCCCTGCTATAACCCTAACCCTAAACATTTTAAATTTTATTTTTATTAAGGGAGAGAAGATAAAATAATCTTTTTTTCCTTCAAAACCTTCCTTTGCTATGCTTTGTGAATTTATAGCATTCAGGTTTGGAATGAACTACTAGTCAAATCTTAGCTTGCTGTTACTTGCAGATTTAGGGTAGCAGGTCTGGAAAGACAAGAAATGAAAAGGGTTTCTTTCCCACCAATTCTTTTTCTTTTATTATACAAAGGTGAGTGGGAATGAACTTCATAGCTTCATTGCAACCCTATCAGTCCCATATCAAAACAATGGAGTGATTCCTGAGAAACTTACGAGCCTATGGCAAAATGGCTTGGAGAGAAGATCTCTTTCCCATGCTCATTGCCCTATATACTCTCCCAGGGATGCTATTATAAGGCATACTGGAAACATATCTTGATCATTTCAACCATTTTATTATTTCTCTCTTGATTTTTGTACCCTTTCTATAACTATTGTTTTTCTCTCTTGCTGTTTTTTGAGTATGTTAGCATTTTTCTGTCTGGACAAAGTTTTAGGTTTATTTTATTTATTTCATTTATTACACCAATTTTTATGGCTGTCCAATTCACACACAAATGACTCCAGACTTACACACAACACACAAAAAATCCACAACATAAAAACTCATAAAAACCCAGCCCTCTCCCCATGGCATAGCAACTACTTGATCAAATCAATCACTTGATTGGTGCTGTTCACAGTCCCCAAGTCCACTGACATTAATGCAGCTTCAAGAAATGTAAAGAAATTGGTTTTGTGAACATTTATTGCTAAAAAAAAAAGAGTCCCGCCATCTTTCTAAAAACCAAGAACATTAGCCACCTGACATCTCTGTAAAACCATGTTGTTGTTTTTCATTCGAGCAACAGAAATTGAGCTATGGGCAATGACCCATGCCTACAATGTTTGCTCAGCTGTTAAGACTAAAAATGTCAATCGATGTGGGTTTGTAGCACAAAGTGCCCTGCACTCACCTTACCTGAACCAACACACAAGGTAACTACTGGGACGCTATTTTGGCAAAAGATACAAATAACAAAAGAAATAACATTTGCATGGTCAAATTTTGTTCTTTCTTTTGACGCTTTGACACTGCCACATTTTCACTTCCCAACCTTTTGAAAAGGATTTGAAGCCAACATACCATTATCTCAACTGGTTGGCTTTGTGTAACATTTTCACGCCTTTTGCATGGAAAACTGACAAGCTCTAACATCAGATTAAATGGCAAGGTTCCATCTTTATTCAGTATCTAAACTGCACTTTTTGACTTTTCTCTTGTGAACTGTAGTAGGATCATCCCTGGAGAGATTCTAGCAGTAATCGGCAAGCATGGACAGATTCCATTTCCCTTGGTATCTTTTCTCCATGCCTGCAATATCCTGGTGGAATGTTTCCCCATGCTCATCACTCACGGCCCCACAATTCAAAGTGAAATGCTGAAGTCTAATTGCAAGAGTAAGAAGTGAATTTTCAATGGCATGTTTGCACCAAGTGCTAAGCAATTTTTCCATAATTTTTTCCATAATTTGTTTTTCATAATCATCTGCCTTGCTGTTCTGAAAGTGAAGATAAATTTATACACTTCCATGTGGTACCATTTTAATTGTTCTAGTATACTTTGTCGAGAAGTTATGAGGCACCATGATCATTAAACACCTTCCTTCCTTCTAGGCAAATATACTCGCCTGTGTATAAATCTTTATTGTGAAATATCTTTAAAACCTTAGCCAACCAGCACCTTAATCACCTGTTTTTTAATTCATCTAATCAAAATATGTAAAAGTCACAAACTTAGCCGAGATGGCTAAAACATCGGCATATCTTAAAGATCACTCAAATGAGAGATATAAACAAGACTGGGAAAAATGGATTGACTATATACAAAATAAATACGGGACCAAGAAATTCCAGTTAGCCTATGCTTAAGATCAGAAATGATTTAAATTGTTTAAAGTTAGCTCAGCAAGAAGAAGTGCAGTGGTTAGGGTGCAGC